ACAGTGAGAAGCACAACAAAGAAACAGCAACAGTACAACCAGGACACCTGTGTAAGAGGGTGTGGTAGGTGAGCGAAGTGGCAACAGGGGGCAGGTCAGCCAATGAAATGAGAGCTGAAAAACTTTAAGAAGGAGGTGTAATGATGGGGTGGGCTTGTTGGCATAATGGGGAGCCCTTGGCATAGCTAGGCTCACTGACCCAAAGAGCAACAGAGCTAAGGACGTTAAGGCAGGAAGTTTATTTACTATTGGTGGAGTGAGGAGCTTTCATACTTAAAAAAAAAGACAGGATAATGATAGTCCAATGGTGATTTATTTTATAAAACATAATGCATGAGAATAATTGTATTAAACACAATGTGAATAAAGAATGCACAATGTATTCAAACTTTGTAAGCAAACCAATAATATATGTACACACACAACACATGTGCACGCATACACACACAAACACCAGAGCTAAAGAGTTCTGTATCACTTGACCACCTGCTCAAGTACTGCAGAGAGGGGGCCAGTGGGACAAGAGCTGAGAGAGATCTTTGCCAGAAGCCACGGTTGAGAAGTTATTCTAAACTGACCAACAGTATCTTGAGAAGCTTCTGACCCTTAAGTGTAACCCATTACTACCCTAACAGACTACATGTGAGTTATACCTTAATATTGCCCTAATAAATTCTGTAAGATCTGGAATGTCTATGCAACAGATTCTCAAACACAATACAGAGTGCATTGAGAGGGAAAGATGGTGTCATTCTTAGCCAAAAGGTATTTTTGACCTTCCCCTCATTGGAATCAGCCTTGGATTGGTACTGACCCTGATTCTCTCTCCCTCCCTCTTTGGAAAGTTAAATGAGGAGATCTGACAAGGCTGAGACATCCTTTTTAAGTGTATTTTGTTTTAAACCACCAAAATATGGTAACTGGTTCCAGTGCAATAGGAAACGTAATAGTCTCTCACTTCTTTCACCTCTTTTTGAAAGACTTCAATAGTATTTACTAAGCCAACTCTTTACTGATGGACATTTGGATTGCCTTCCAATATTTGCTATTGTAAAATAATCTCTTTATACAGAAGGGTACAAATTTCTTGGTATCAAGTTGTTCACACTGTTTTCCCACCCAGATTGTTAGGTACTTAAAATTAGAAATAACATGTTTCACATCTTTTGGGACCCATCTCTATGATGCCCTAATTTAGATCTTTGCAGGAGAAGATACATTAATTTTTAATCTCAAGATCTCTAATCCCTATCAAAGGGTACACAAAGAAGAGTCCTCATAGAATTCATGCTTACCAACTATTAATTTAAAGAAAAAAATTTTACTCACATATAATTGATACTTATTTAATAAAGACATTGATTTATTTATTTAAGCCCCATGCCGAACTCTGGGGAAGAAGCTCTCATTCCAGTAGGGGAAAATCCAATTGCATGTGCACATATAATCACAATACAATGCCTGGTAAATGGGTAAAATTAGGCTTAACCACACTGCATCAAGCCAATTTCGATTCACAGCTTCCTTGCAGGACAGAACTGAACTATTCACAGGATTTCCAAGGGTATAAATCTTCACAGAGGCAGAATGTCTCCATTTTTCCCCAGCAGCAACTGGTGGGTCTCAATTGCCCACCAGTGTTTTTGTTAGTGGCTAAATTCTTTAGCCATGTGGTCTCCCCTCGCCCTTCTTTTAAAGATACAGGCTGGGTGAAGCTATAAGGACTAATTCTGTTCACGAATATTGAGGAAAGTTTTCTAGAGCACACCTTCAAAGAAAGGTTAGGAGCTTACTAAGTCAACAGAATAGAGAGGTATGAAGAAGTACGAAAAGATTAGAGCATGCCAAGTCAATTCTGGGGTGAAAAGGATACACTGCACTCAATGAGATTAGAGATACAGGTAGAATTATTTCTGCCACACTAATAATAGGGCTTCAGGAGAAACAAGAAATGCATAAACATATGTGCAGTTTTCAAAGGGAAGTTTGATGGTAGTTTGAAGATTAATTCAGGGTAGGAAGACAGTGGAGTCAAAAAGCCTTGGGGAGAAATGTGAAGGGTCTGTCGTGACATGGGGGATGGAGTGGGACTGGAGTGACTTGACTGATGTTTAGGAGACAGACATTCACTGGATTTAGTGACTAACCGACAGAGAAAGGAGTGTTAAGAAGATGAAGCCTAAAAAGACTAGCAATTTCTGTTAATGGTCTTTTAGCAAATATGAATAATGCCTTTAACTTGATTTAAAAAGAACAGGAGAGAGTATGTGACTGACGAAAGAAGATAAAGCTTACGGAAGCTAGAGATGTTTAAGGCATATGTGCATACATGTATTTGTATGTGCTACAAAAATATTTATGAACATAGTATAGCACACGCAGGGAAAAGTTATGAACATTTCCTAGCCATAAACTTTCTTTTATATGTAGAAATGATCCCTGGGTAAATAGAATTCTACCTCAGAAAGGAAAAAATGAGACCCTGAAGCTGAGAGGAGAGAACTCTGTTGGAGATTCAGAAATGAGGCTAAATATATGTGACTGTGTTCTAAAGAGTGAAATGTCACACAAGCTAGTGACAGCTACTGAGGACCTGGCAGTGGCTACTCCTTCCCTCCTGTGAACCACCTAATAGCCAACAATCAATATCCACCAAAATGCACTACATGGATTTGCAATTTGATTGCCTGCAGAATCTGAAATGACTTTTAAAGTGGAGGAATATCTGGTCTTCTCTTTTCTCTTTTTATTCTCGAGCTTGTTTGTGTTATCTGGCACACAGGTAAGTGTGTCATGGTAAAAATGAACAATATGTTAGTATCTTTTAATTGAAGTCTCTCTCTCTCATTGCTGTCAGGTTAGAACCAACTCATAGCTGACTTGCCACTGGGTTTCTTTCTCCCAATGCTGATGGAATCAAACCACCAGAAAAAAAGTCCTGGCCTTTGGGTTGGCAGTGCAACTCCTTACCCGTGGGCTCACCAAAAGTCTCTTAGTGGTTAATAAAGGTTTAATATTTGGTTAAGAAAAAAAGTTATTCAAAGAGTTCTTTTGATGAAAAGTATCAAGTTCTCTGTGTCAATTATACTTGATGTATTAATACAGTCCATACTTTCAGTGATTTCTGTCAATTGCTTTGAGAATGTACTATATCACCAATGTGATACCCAACCAGAATGAACCACGAATTTCTAGTAATAGTTCAACATCAGAAAAATTTTCAGTTTATACCAACTATATAAATGTTAATGTAAGGAAATAAAGACCATTTATCAAATTTTATCTTGATAGAAAACTTCTCTTTAGATTAACTCTTAACTAAGCAAACGAAGGATATTTTCAACTAAAGACTTCAAAATTTTCATATTTCAATAGGAATGTAATATAATTTTCTAATATTTAGGAATTTTAAGTTACTGGAAAATTTCCAAAGACATTAGACTTAAAAAAAATTTTTCTTCTTTGAAAATGAGCTATAGTTCAAGCTAAATTATAAAATAAAAGCAAGTTAAGAGATAAAAGAACTGTACACAAGGATGCTCCATGGACCACAAACTGATACGGCTCTCCTGGGCTTGGATCTTCTCAGTTCAGAAAGCCACGTGCTGGGCACAGACACTATGTGAGGTAACAGAATCAGAAAGCAAGAAGAGAAGAGTCCCTACACTCAGGATGGCAAAGTGATGAGCTCTCATTTTCAAATAACAATTCCAAGACTTCCAGATGTTCCACAAAGTACGGATGAGATTTGGGGGGAGTGTGAAGGGACACAGTGAGATTTCTGTTAACTTCTCTCCCATGCGACAGTAGAGGTGCCATTTACCTGTTTCATATATTAGAGTTTCTCCTAAAATTGAGCCTCAGGAAATGACCTTTTACATAAAAATGCACACAGGAAGATTACAAACCACTGGTCTAAGAGAAAAGTAAGAGCATCCAGAGCCCAAATTTATGCAGCCCTGGTCTACAGTCTTGTTTATGTCTAATAGTTGTAACTGCTACCACAGCTATTACAGCTTTCTCAGTGCCCCCCACTGGGAGCCACTGACAAGGTAAACCCTGACCAGTCGATCAGACCATTTTCTTTCTCCCCCCTCCCCCCGCCTCGTGAAGCATAGTGCTTTGCTTTATTGTAAAAAGCAGAGGTACCCTGGCACGAACTGCTTTTCTTTCATATTCTAATTTCCATTCTTAATTTTTCTACATATAATGCACTATGCCATTGTAAAAAAATTATTCCAGATTTATTTTCACTTTGCCCATCTACAAATCAACCAAAGTTATCTATGTGGGTTCCCTAGGATTGCACATTGGCTATAAAGGAAGTCTCTGCCCTGAGAAAGCCTGCTGGTCTGTAGAGGGAGGGAATCCCCTGGATTCTCAAGAGGATGAGTGCTGCCTTCACTGCTCATGCTGAAGGACCTTGTCACGGGCATGATAACACAGTCTTCCATATGTAGGTCCCTTCTGCTACCTCTCCCCCAACCTAAGAAGAATCATGAAGGCAGTCTAGGAAGATGCGCAACCCTTCAGAAAGGTGAATTTGCATCCAGGGCTGGGTACCCTCAGACTGGAGGAGGAACCTTCAGCCTACTTCCAGTAAATCCTCTCTTTTACATTCAGCAAGCTAGCTTCAAGGTTCCCTGTGCTCTGGTCTGTCCTTTCTGCTGTATTTGATTTGCTCTGTCTTTCTCTTCTTGCTTTTTCCTCTGGCGCTAAATGCCAGATGTATCTCTTTCTCTCCTGACATGAAATTAGCTAAGATTAAAAGCTGGGTTGGAGCTTTTAAGTGGAACTAGGCATAGTGGTGGGAAAGAAGTCTCAAGATGGTGTGACTTTGAAGACCTCAGGCCACACTGGGTGTTTGGCACCAAACATTTACTTATTAAGAGGTTATTCTGTTTTTGTTTTGGCTCCCCCTTTGAAGATGAGCAGTGCTTATGACCACAGCTATCCCGTCTTAAGGTTCTCGACTTCATCCGAATGTGCAGTAATCTTACCTTATCTGCTTGCCTTCTCTCATGTCGTACAAGGAAAAGAAGACATCAGTATCTTCCCCAATGGTATTGTAAGTAAAACTTTTCAGACTGAGGAAAAAGTGATGTGGCACTGGCATCCGGCAGGTTTCGCCATGACGTGGACGCATCGTATCTGCCTGATGAGTGATTTACATTTTAGCTTATCACATTAATCAAAAATAAGGTAAAAACTAAATGGCTACCTCTCTTCACATGAAAGGGATTCCTTTTAAAGAGGGTCTGAAAGTGTTTTCTTTGCTAGTAGAGGGTTGCTCTATATGCTTAGGTGGAGGAGGGCAAGCATGCAAGCTGGCACCAGGAGGCAAAGTGAACGGGTAATGAGAATAGTAATCCCAAATGCAAGTGAACTCAAAGTTTCCAGGGGATCATTTTCACTGTCATTTATTAGAGACACTATCATGACTATGATACCATTGATTTATTTATACTATTAGATGGTAATAGTTATGACCATTTTAAATAACATTCTCTGTTTCTCCCAGACTACTCTCTTTCAATTGCTCTTAAGTAAATTTGCACAGAGGAGCGAAGACTGGCCAGATCTGCTTGGAGGCCGAGGATCCTTACACGAAAGGCACTCCCACAGTCAAGAAGTCAGCTGTGTCTGTCACTTCCTGGTGCTTCCATATGCAGTGATCTCTTAGAGTTGGGGGAAAGCCTGGGAAGCCTGGCCAAGCTTCTTACCTGGGATGTACTTTGCTGTACACTCTGTCGACTTGATAAATGCTATGGAAAGAAAACAAAAAATTAGTGTGTGTGAGTGAACATATATGTTCATACTTTCAAGAAAAAAAAATCCATGGTTTTCTGATCCATAAGCCTGTGGGAAGGTCGTGGTGGTTGTTGTCGTTGACTGCCTTCGAGTCCGGCACAACTCGTAGTGATCCTATGAACAAAAGGCCTGAAGCCTTTCTATAACTACCGACATGTATCAAAGTTCATAGAGTTTCCGGGAGGTTATTAGCCTAAAAATCTCCAATTCACTTAATTTACAAGACCCTATCAATGTGGGATAAAAGTTACTAAATGTAACAATAAAATTAAGCTCACTGCCATCAAGTAGATTCTACTCAAAGCAGCTCTAGAGAAGAGAAACTTCCCTAGAAGATCTCAAGGCAGAAGGAGTTCTGCTGGTCTTGTAAAGAGTTGGGCTGCCAACCCAAAGACACACAGTTTGAATCCATCAACCGCTCCATGAAAGAAAGATGGGCAATCTTCTCCCATGTGATATATTGCCTCTGGAAACACATAGGAGGGTCAGCTATGAGTTGGTTCCAACTTAAGGGCACTTAACACCAACCAGTAACAACCTTTACACATTCTGATTGCCTCATCTTTGTCCTTCAGAACAGTTGGTGGGTTCACACTGCCAACCTTTCAATTAGTAGTCAAGCATTTAACCGCTGAACTACCGGGGCTTCTCTAACAAAATGAACTGCTTATTATAAATGCTGGGAACTGTATTAGGTATCGTAGATCTCACAAGGGAAGTATAAAACATATCTAATCAGGGTTGCCAATGAAATTACGCTTGATTCTAGTAAATAGTCTAATCAACTGATTTATTCTAGAAATGAAATTATAAACGTTGCTCTCTTCAAAGTACTAATTAGCACTAGAAGGTAAAAGACCTAACTGGATTTTTTTTTCCCTGATCATATTCCATTATGTATCAATTTAGACTCCATCAATATTCAGAGATAGCGGAGACAGCTGAGACAGCTTCTAAAATAAGTCCTCATGTTTTGAGAACATCTCCCTCCGCATCATGAGAACAGGTGCTTATCACACCTCAGTGTGGAAGGGTAACAAGGAAGCAGAAGATTTGAATGTGAGAATTCTGTTGGATCTGGCCACAATTTAGAAGCTCACATATTATGTAATTTCTGTGTGCACACTTTTCAAAAGAAGATTTTCCTAATTAAGATTAACACAAACACTTTGCTGCTGATGCTCAAAATGATCTTTAGTTTGGGCAGCATAATTTCTAAAAGTGGATTTAGAATTATAATTATGAAAATTAAAGAACTGGGGTACACTGAAGTTTCCTCTGATTTACATTACATAGGATGAAAATCCAACTATCTGTTGAAGAGATCAACACTTGCACCTGGGATTTTGTTTTTAAATTAAGACTAAAGTGTTCAAAATGAGTATTTAAGGTATTTATATAATTTTTTTTAAGAAGTGACAAATATTATCCCAAATTTCATACTGAGTTTGTATAATAGCTAGTGAGAGGTTTAAATGTTAAGCAAAAATGTTTCAAAGGTTATTCTTTTGGATTTTGCTGATGATGTTAATATTCTGTACGGAATTTAATGTCAAAATCCCAAGGGGCTCTCAATAAACTCATTGAACTCTCAAAATTTGTATTCCTCCACCATCTCCAATTCTTTCAAAGCAAAAACAAATGAGATAAAAAACTTAGCAGAAAACTTAGCAGAGAATGAAATAAAATAAAAACACCATGGCCTTTAGGCATTTCTGATAAAATTTAAATTTAAGAAAACAGTACTATCACCGCTGTAAAAGTTTATTGTAACTCGTGGCTGCTAAAAAGCTAACTCTGACTTAGGGTGACTTATATACAACAGAAACACTGTCTGATCTTGCCCTAACTTCAAGGTCAAAGGGATGCTCAAGGTCATGTTGCAGCCATCATGTATCTTCAGCCTTTTCTGATTTAGAGAGCTCACTTTCAGTGCTCATTAGGAAACCTTCTGTTGTGATTCTTTGAGAATTAACTGGCCTTTTTTTCTAGCCTGGAATTTCTGGTGAAAACTGTCCACTATGGAAGGTCTTAGTCTATCGTAAATACTGGTGACACAGCTTCCAGTTTCTTAGCAACCCCAACACTGAACTGCACTCAAAGGATTACAATAATATTACCCATCCTCTACTTAGGTTGCTCCATTTCACAAGGACAATTACCTTGAATTCTTTATAGTGCTTCTTTTACAAATGATAAAGTACTTATACAATTCATATTTTTCTTTCTTTCCCTGGAACTTTAGAATGTATTCTTTCTTATTATCTATCTCCTTTCATCTATCAATCTCCATAATATTGTTATTTTTCCCCTTAAAACTTGTTTGTACTACCTGGTAAATTTTAAATATTGCTCACTGTTGAGTTAAGTATTGTACTACAATTGTCTTTCCTTTCTTCTGCTACCTTTTGATTTCCCCCCCGTATATATTTACTTCTTTTTTTAAATTACAAGGCCTCTTTCTATGCACTCTAACAACTCTATAAAATGCCATTTAATTTTATTTGCCTCATGTTGAAAATTGTCAAATTTATGATCAAGTGTTTGTGTCTCTCTTGGAGATACCCTACCTGGTGCCTTTTGCCCTTCTGCTTTATTATAGAGCACTTTCGTTTCTAGGCCTGCAGTGCTTGGGACTTCTCTCTGTTGTCATACTGAGAATTCCTTGTACTGCTGACATGTGTGGACATTTTAAAGGAACAATTCTTCAGCAGTTTTCTGAAAAGGCTTTCTTGAGATAGATTTATTTCTTAAGACAACGAAGAACTGATTTTTCTTGAGACTACTCTCCTCCTTGATTATGAGCAGCTAAATATATGCAGAATTTTAGGCTGAAATTTTCTTTTCCTTCAGAATTTTGAAGCCATGCTCTATTGTTTTCCAGCTGTGAGAGCTGCTATTCTTAAAACAAATACTTTGTGTGAGGTTTGTTTTCCTTTCTGAAAGGTTTTAGCATCCTCTATTTCTGGTGAGCTGCAATTTCACAACTGTCAAATACTTGCTGGGCCCTTTTAATTTGTGGACTCATGTTCATCCAGGGAGTAGTATCTTGATATGATTTTTTTTTCAATAATTTCCTTTGTTTTTTCATTTTTTTCTTCTGAAACTCCATTTTCTGTATTTTGGAGCTTGTGAATTGAAGCTTTATTAATGAAGCTTTAATTTTTATAGCTTTTCTATTTGAATTTATTATTATTGCTATAATCTGTTTTCAGGGGAATTTTATCTATCATTATCTTCTAATCTTTATGCCAACTCTATTCTAGTTATCTCATTTTGAAGTTTAAAGCACCCCTTTCCTTCATAGATTGTTCTGTTTTGTTACCTGGTTGTATTTTCCTTTACGCAGGAAGAACCCTTCGTTCTGTGTGCTTTTTGTTTCTTTCAAACTCATTAATTCTTTTTGTCTCTAATTTTTATATAAGAAATTTCTTTTAGAAGGACAGATTTTCTACCAACATTCAGTGTTTGCTCCTACTGAAGAGTGTGGCACTGGAAAGCTCCCTAAAAGTGTATGTGGGTGTGGTATGAAGTTATGTCATTTAGTCCCTAGGTTCAAGTTCATGTACTCTGTTGTTGTTTGTTGTTATGTACCATCGAGTCGCTTGCGACTCACAGCGACCCTATGTACAACAGCCCTAAACTCTGCTCTGTCCTGTGCCAATCGCACCGTCTATGATACACCCATCCCTATTACCCCAGGCACTGAATCAATCCACCTCATAGGGGGCCTTCCCCTTCTGCACTGTCCCTCCCCTCCACCCTACCAAGCATGATGTCCTCTCCAAGGACCTGTCCCTCCTTGCAACATGTCCAAAGTATGTTAGACGGAGCCTTAGAATCCTTGCCTCCAAGGAGAAGCCCGGTTTGACCCTTTCCACGATGAATCTGTTTGTTTTCCTAGCAGTCCATGGCACCCCCAATACTCTTCTCCAGCACCACAGCTCAAAGGCATCAATTCTCCTTCTATCCTCCTTGGTCATTGTCCAACTCTCTGATGCATAACAAGTGATAGCAAAGGCCATGGCCTGTATCAGACGCACCTTAGTCTCCAAAGAGACACCAATGCTCTTCAGTACTTAACAGCAGACTTTCCCAAGGTAATATGTCTTCTCATTTACTGGCTACTGGTACTGAGAGTGTTGACTGTGGAGCCAAGCAAGCTGAAGCTGTGAACAATCTCAATCTCCTCACCATCCATCCTGATGCTGCCAATTGGCCCAGTGGTGAGAATCTTTGTCTTCTTGACACTGAACCTCAATCCATATTGGAGGCGGCAGTCCTTGACCCTCTGCAGCAAGCGCTTCAGGTCCTCTTCAGTTTCAGCAAGCAGGGTTGTATCATCTGCATATTGCCGATTGTTGATAGATCTCTAGCAACTCTAAAACTATTGTCTTTGGACTTTACATCTTAACCCCAGACTTTTCAACACCTATGGTTATTTTAAAGGTATCTTAAACTTAAATAAGAAAAACCAGATTTATAGATTCCCCACTGCTCAACTCGCAAACTTGCTCTGCTGATATATAACTGTGTATCAGAGTATCTTCATCCATTTATTCTTACAGTGGACACTTAGCATGTTCTCTATCATCCCAATAAAGTATAGATTCAAAGCATGAACTTTAGGAACAATAGTAGAGAATAAGTGTACGCCAGTTCCCTAAAATTAACTAAAATATTATATGCAAAATCATAGCTGCTGTGCACTTGGGGTTGATGGGAGTATCCTCTGAGCCTGTATGATGCAGAAAAGGTTAAAAACCAATACCAGGATGGTGATGTTTTCCAGGTGTGGACTAAGTCATGCTCATTTTTAATTATTGAGTCTGTCATATGTATAGCTGAAGTAACTGTGTACATCTATCTACATACACTGGTAAATACAAACAGACAAATATACAGAGCGATTTCTATATTATTTAGGCAATTTCCTAAGGCATTCAACTAGGCAACATCCTTGCTATTACTCATGCTCCCTAAAAATAGTGCATTTTCTTAAGGAGATTATATAATTTTTTTTTTATTCTCAGGAACTTTTATTATTCAAATCCAACTTGTCCCAAGTTTTCACCCAGCTCCTTGGCCTAAATTTAGTAATAACTTTATGATTGTATTGTTTGGTTTTCTTTAAAATTTTCATTTTCCTTTCAAGAATTTCTCATCTAGCCTATGAAATATAATTCTGATCAGCAATCAACACAATACATTTTTATGATGACTAACAGAAGGATAAGGATCTATTAGGCTGTCTTTAGAAAGACTGGTCAATGAAGTCTAGATTCAATCACTACACTGATCAATAACTGCCTCTTTCTATTTTAAACTACTTACCTTTATAAGAAGTAGAAAGAAAGGGAAACAACTACAGTTAAGTGGTGTAGGCTAACTGAGTTCTGTTTACCAGCAGAATCAACAAACTGACTCCTAGACATTACAATGAGCTTAGAAGCGCTACAAAGTAATTCCACTTAAAAAACAAGTGTGATATTTACTGTCAGAATAAAGAAGACTCCCTTAATACACTAGGACAAAAGCAAAGGATAACTTTTGGGATGTTTTTTTCCATATATAATTAAGAAAAATAAACAAAGTGGGGAAATTCAGGTGTAGGGGAACAAGTCACCTCATATTAAGTTTCTTACCATTTTATAGAGATCTGAGACACTAATCTGATCTGAATCCACCACTTCAAAGTCCTTTCGAGGCACCAGATCCAGGCCCAAATGTCTGGTAAGAAGAAAGAACACAATCAGCATGGAAAGTCCTCAGATTAATCATCTCTCTTGGTAAAGGAGAGGATAAGAGGTAAAAGAGGAAGATCTTTAATGAGACAGACTGGCATAATAGTTGAACAATGGGCTCAAACACAACAGTGATTGTGAGAATAGCACAGGACTGGCCATTGCTTTGTTGTGCTGTAAGCAGAGTTGGAACTGACTTGATAGTATTTAACCACAACAACAACAACTATATATACACAAACTTGGGAGTTCACACCTGCCATAGAACAGAAGTCCAGACACTGACCCAGAAAGAACATGTCTTTATCTAGCAACACCTAATTGTTGACTCATAGTTGACACTCTCCAAAGGGTTTTCAGGACAGAAAATTGCACAGGAAGAGACTTCCCATCTTTCTCCACAGAGCAGCTGGTGGACTTAACCTGCACGGTTTTAGGATTGCAATGCAGCCTCTTACCACTGTACCACCAGAGTTAAATACGGCGGAGTTTTTCAGATTGAGACCATTCCAGTCACCAAGCAATTTCACTTGTGAGGGTCAAAAAGAATTAATTTAATACTATATTTTAAACAAGAGACAGACATTTGCTGTACAGAAGTAACTCATGGTTGCTGTGATGCTGAACACTGTGACACTGAGGTGTCAAATGTGATAATGATTACCCATGGTAGACAGTGTTTGGTAGAGCTCCCTGATTAAAACAAGCTTGGGATCTCTGATCCACAACCCCCATCTTCAGGTACTGCATTGCTCCCCCCCGACCCGGCTCGCACTCCCCCCCACCCCTGCCAGCTCTGAACTTTGGGACTGGCCAAGGGCT